TTTTTTTTTTTTTTACCTTATACCATATAACTACTTTATACATAGATATATTAATTGATAAATAATTTCATTTTTCTATGCAATATTAATAAATAGTTTTATTTTATTATTATAAAGATAAATATAATTTATTTATTTTATATGTACAATATGGATGTCAAATCGAAACTCATCGCGAGAAAATAATTTAATATATTATATATGTAACACCGATAAAAAATAAAAAAAATATCAATTTTTAAAATACATCATTCAATTGTTATAATATGAATTGATATTAAAATGCATTTAATACATCTAAAAAGACCATATATAAACAACATATTTATGAAAAATTCGGACCTATTTATTTTTTGATTGAAAGTAAATTAAAATCTATCAAATTTAAAAAATGAAGCATGAAATTTTGCCACATAAAATATCAAAACATGCGAGTCTGTCACTTAAGCTCGACAAGTTGAGGAATTATATATTAGAGGGGTTTGCTATAATTCATCCAAGAAAATCATTAATAACTTAATTGTTTATATATAACCAATTATGAGAAAGCATCTTAATCACCACCCACCAAAAGTGGGCACATAGTTTACAACAAACAAGTTGCTTGCAAGAGTGTTCAAGGACAAGTGACAAAAGCACCCCTAAAATGTTAATATTAATTAAATAAAATAAAGTAGATGTCTAATTAAATTACTAAAAGATTTTCCCAAAATTGCATCTTAAAGTTCCCCATAAAACATAATGGTGGGGCCTGGGCCTTCCAAAGTGCACAAAAGAATGGATCACAGACCCAAAAACCAGCCCACTAGCTAAATTCCACTATCCAACTTTATCCATCATCAATTTGTGGAAAATGTATTAATTAAAGTAATGATCTCTAATGGGAATATAAATGCATGTACCTTATTTTTGAGTTGTCAGTAAGAGTGTAACTCAAAGAGGATATATTACTGTTTAAGTCTAAAATTGAAAATGAAAGATCTGAATATTGTTAATCAGACCATATTCGAATAAATCGATTCGGCTTATGTTACGCTGTCTTATGGTTAAACAGTCTGTCTTTTAGTAAATGTAAGGAAAAATTGGTTTTGTACCGATTTAACGATTCTATTTTTCGTAAGTAGAATACTTAGAAAAGTCTCAAAACCTTTTTAAGGTGAATGAGAAATTAATTCTAAGTGTGGTATTTTAATTAATTGAGTTTAAACAACTCAAAAGGTTGTAGGGTTCACAAACATTATATTTTAATAAATGTTTGGATAAACTAAACGAGCCATAAATATGCATTATGTATGCTAGAATTGTAGAAGGGTTCGTTGGGGACAAGTAGGAAAAAACGGAACTCGATTCCGAGTCCGTATGAGCTCGTACAAGCCCGCGGCGCACGGGCGCGCAACTGGCTGCGGAAATTGAAGGGTTGCAACCCTTGGTGACCATAAGGTATCTTTTGGCCACTAGATACATCCGTTCTTGTTCGGGCACGTCCCAAAAGGTGTCTTTTGACACTTAAACTTTTTGGAGGTGTCTCCTTACATCTATAAATACCCACTAACATGAAATCATTCAAGACATCAAATAATTTCATAACTTTTGCATCCTTTTTACAAAGTTCATATTCATCTTGTGTTCTTTGTGTTCTTTCCTATCTTGAGAGTTCCGAAACTTAAGTATTGTTCGCCGAAGGTTTGTGTATTTGAGTTACCACTATACACAAATCAAAAGTCGTTGTATCTTGGAGGCATTAGCCGTGAACCGTGGGTAATATACGGGGCTATTTCGTCTTAAGGAGAGCGTATCTTACGTGCCTCGACTTTGTTCGTTTTACC